TATATATGCAGTGGAGGGTGGAGGGTGGAGGTGTATGTATGTTTTGACACATGGAAGAAATAGCCGTCGGGTTCTTTTTTTTTATGTCTCCATACGCTTATCCTTGCATGGAGATGTCAAGAAGCTTTGTATTTTATGGATGATTAGTCAGTATAGAATTTTTATATTGATTAAATCGCAAGGAGCCTTTTTTAATTTAATATTAATTTACAAAGGGTGGTGGGTCCTCCGTGTGGGAGCACATGTAAAAATGCTTTTTTTTTTTATTTTTTATTTTTTAATGTTTTATTTTCTCTTTTCCCCGGGAATAAATTTTATGCTGTAAAAGTTTTATATTATCCCTTTTTGATTTTTTAAGATTTACAATTAAAACAATTTGATTCAATTAGTTGAAGGAATATATAATTTCTTAATAAAATATATTTTAAACATGTAATAAAAAGGGTAGTTTTGGGAAAGGTCATAACGAAAATGAGTTATTGCCAAGCAAGAGAATAATAATAATATTCTTTAAATAAATTGGAATTTATTTGGGTAATCCAATTCTGTTAAATTTGATAAGAAGTGTTTTTAAGTATTTTATTGGGAAATTTGGCGGAATTAATTGGTGATTGGTGGTTGTTTTTGTTGTCAGTATCTCACACGTGCCTTCTGTCTATTTTGCAGATATGAAATTTATTATTATTATTTTAATTATCGAAATCACCCGGCCGGGATTTTAATAATATATATTTGTCGTGTCAAAAAAAAAAAAAAACAATATCTTCGCTTTTCAATCATGCTCGTTTAGATATGTTTTTCTTCTTTTCAAATTTTACCTTCAGAGATGACGGTGGGCCCCACAGTTGCCTAAGAAAGTGGGCCATCCGTGATGAGATGGTTTTCTTTTGCTTAGACTTTTCAAGCTGCTATCCTCTTTACACGTGTCCCCCCCTCTCTTTCCATAAACACACAAACCCGTCCGACTTAAACAAATTTCTTTTTTTTTTTTTTTTTTTTTTTAATAAAAAATTAAAAGTGTAACCAAAAGTAATAAAGATTGGTCCGGGATGTGGGATCCCATTCGTACATTAAGAATTTATTTAAATAAATAAAGCAATTTAAAATTCTTTTATTAAAGATTAAATTTCATTGAAAATAATAATCTTTATCAAAAGTGGGAGCCGAAATTTCAAAAAAAAAAAATAGGAAATCCAATCCGTAGAATTCAAGCACGGAGGCATTATAATAAATAAAGCAAACACGCAATGCTTCTATTTTTCTTTTTTCTTTTTTCGTTATTTTTGGACAAAAGAAAATGTTAACAAAATTAATGAAAAAACCAATAATAATATTCTAATAAAAAAATTCAACATAAAAAGATTACGTACTTTATCCCCTACCCACATCTCAGCATTTTCACCGCCCTTTTAAGTACCTTATTAAATGGTCATTTAATCTTTGATATGTTAGCCCACTAAATTATGAGAAAAGTGGATTTTGATCTTTGGTTTTGCACCCAGACATAATCTTTTGAAGTTAATCTTAATAATAATTATAATAGATGTAAACTATCTTTTATTTGTTATACACAATGATAAAAATGTAGAGAACCTGATTTTTTTATCTACGTATTTCACTTATGGATGAAGAAAAGATATAACTAGATCTTTTATAATAATTTTTACCTAACCGAACTAACAAATAATATAGACTATATCACCCGTTTATAAAATTAAGAATGTGTTGTACTTTTTTTTTTTTGGTCCCAAATTGCTCCCTTGCTCTTAGTTATTTTGCTTAATGGAACTTTTGAATTTTTCTATCTCGATTAAAGTCACTTACATAAATTTTAATCTGAAAATTCAATATGTAACACTTTACACATCAACTAAACTGCATTTAGCATTGAAAATTAAATAATGTTATGTAAATTATTTATTTTGTTGGTAGATTTGGGTTTTTTGGGACTAAATTTATGCTTTCTAGTGGTAGTGATTTACAAATTTAATATTAAAACTAATTTAATTAATGATTCATATGTCTCATGTTTAATTTTATTAACATGATATATCACATAATAGCAAATTAAAAGTATTAATTAGACAAGGGAAATATTTGATTTAACATAACTTAAAAAAATGTTAGATCTTTAATCGAAAAAGATAAACAGTTGGGTCCTTAGTTGTATATTTGTGCAAAAGCTATACTCATATATATATATATATGCATTTAGTTTTTTTTTTTATTTTTCATATGTGTATAAATTATAAACATAAAAAATTAAATATACATGTATATAGTAATTACAATGTACATATCGATCTCCATCATAGCTTTTCCTATTATCTTAACAGGTTTTCATCTCTACTCTCGCTCCATTATCTCCATGCTTATTCTCAATTGTCTCGTCAGTAAATCCCTCTCTAAAGGATTTTGTAATATCACCAGATACTCTTTTCTCTCTGGTCACACCATGGGAATGAAACCCATCTACGATCAAGCTTTTGGTGCAAAAAGGCTCAAGCTTCTTAGTCTCATAATACAACCAATAATTCCAATACTTATCCTCATTTCCTCCCTATTTCCTTTATGTGGGTCAATGATAAGATCCAAAAAACTCATGATATCTTCAATAAGAAAAACATGAAAAATAAGCTTTGGGAAGTAGTCAAAAATAACCACTTCCATATCTCCACGATCCTTGCCATCTGATGACCCCATAATCCCCATTATCCCATTTCTCCCTTTTTTTTATTTAAGTTATGTAGTTGTAGGACATATCAGGTAGAATTTTTGTATTTAAAGATTTAAGTATCATCAATCAAAGATAGTTCAAATTTCATCTCAAATCGGTGGTAATTTTTTTCTCAAATGAAAAACTTTTTTTATTTCTTTATTAACTTTGACTAAAACCTATTAATTGGTTAGAACTAGAATCCTATGGCATCCAACAAAAAACATATCGAAAACCTTAAAATTTGTCTCGGAGGCCTACATGGTAGCCTGAGCCACATGGAGATCGGTATGACTAACAAGTTCTGGCAATTAGAGGAGACCATGAAAAGATTATCAAACTCTATGGTAACCCACATAAAATGATCAAGCAACAACTCCATGGGTCGAACCAACCAGTTGTAACCAACCCGCAATAATGCACCAAAGAGAGACAACTCAAGGTGACAACTCTTCTACTCAAAGTTAACAAAATTAGAATTTTCCACCTACCCTAGTAAAGATTTGACAGATTAATTCAACTGTGTAGAATAGTTTTTCGAATATCAAGGAACCACCGCCAACTAGAAGGTTTCTTTAGTCGCGTTCCACTTAAAGAGCTAAGCCAACCTGTAGTGGCAATGGCTTCGCGGGACATATAGAGAAGAAAAGAAGGATGTAACGTGGGCTGCCTCTAAGGAAGAACTTTGGGCTCGATTCAATCCAATGGACTATGAAGACTTTGATGGGCCCCTACCGAGAGTCAAATAGTTTGGTCTATTGTGCTTATATCAGAGAGAATTTGAGAGGCTGGGTAATCGAGTCTAATGATGGACTTAGAAGGCCTTAGTGAGTACCTTCATCAATGGGCTCAAGCTTAAAGTTGTTAATGACATCAGGATGTTCCGGCTCAAGTCCTTGAAGGAAGCCATAAATCTGGCCCGTGCGAGAGAAGACCAATTAGACTAGCAGCACCGGGCCGATCAATTCGGACAAAATCCACTTGCTTGAAACCAACAAGCCCTTATCGCTCCTCATCAGTAAAACCTCACCACTCCTTCTGCTACCACCAAACGACTCTCGTGGGATAAAATACAGAGATGGCGAGTGCACGGGTTGTGCTTCAATTGTGAAAAAAATTTATAGCCGACCGTAGATGCTGTCGATCCCAACTATTGCTTTTGGAATGCAACAAAAAATAAGAAGATGTAGAACTTGTAAAGCCTGAATAAAAAGAGAACTCGAGAAACATGGTTACCGAAAGAACTGCATGAAGATTTAGCAACATAAACTTTGATGACAAGGTTCTTAAAAAAAAGAAAGACAATTATAAGATCAGAAGAACTAATGATATCTTCAGTAAAAAAAATGTGGAAAATAAGATTTGAGAAGCAATCAACAATAACAACTTCTATATCTCCACGATCCCCATTAATTGATCATAATCCCCATTATCCCATTTCTCCTATTTTTTTGAATTAAGTTAAGTAGTTATAGGACATAATATGTAGAATTCTTATTTTTAAACATTCAAACATCATTAATAAAAAACAGTTCAAATTTTATCTTAGTAATTTTTTAACCAAAAAATATTTTTTTTAAAATTTCTTTACTAGCTTTGACCGGGACCTATCAGTCAACATGAGAAAAAAAAAAATCCTCCTTTTCTACAATCAATAAGAAGACGTTACAAGTCAAGTTCAACTCTACATATTTCGCTATCTCTCTAACTTCATTGTTCAATCTATTTGATACCTTCTTTGAATTTATCTCAGAGCCTGGTCTATTGTTATTCTTTTAACATTCTCTGCATCTTTTGCTTTATTTTTCCATATTCCCATTACCTATTTTATAGCCCATGTTCTAAACATGGGAATCAAAGGTGTTGTTGTGGGAGCAGTTTGAACTAATTTCAATCTCATAGTATCTTTAATAGTTTACATTTATCATTTGGGTGTATATAAGAAAACATGGGAAGGGATCTCGATTATTTTCTTCAAAGGGTGGAAATGTCTATTGAATTTAACTATTCCTAGCTGCATTTTTGTTTGTCTTAAAATGGTGGTGGTCTGAAATCATGATTTTGCTATGTGGGTTCTTAATAAATCCTCGAGCAATGGCTGCTTCAATGGGAATTCTGATTCAAACCACAACTTCGATATACATTTTCCCATCTTCTTTAAGCTTTGGTGGGGAATGAATTAGGCGCCAACAATCCGAACAAAGCTAAACTCGCAGGTGTATCTTCAAGGTTTATTCTTGGATTCTCAACGTAATTCTTCATTAGAATGTAATAAAGTTGAAGCTTTATTTACGATGATAATGCACGAATAACCAAGTTCATAGTAGGGGAAAGTAACTTGAGGCTGAAGAATGGAAACAGTTGCAAACAATTAAAGAAAAATTTTGTTTTCTTAATTCTATATATAAATATCTTTGTTTTCATCTTAAAATTGGTTGAATTAATTAAAAAAAATGTGGTCTTTTATTTAACACTTAATTTTTATAATTAAGTTTTAATTAATTATTTAAAAATTTACAAAAAACTCATTCAAGTCTATCTCCCGATCGGAAAACCAAAGCCCAAGCCTAAGCCGATTGAGCTCTGCCTTTTTGAAATTCAAGCCCTTTTGGATCTGACCCAGCCCTGTTTCTTCTTTTGATATGAACTTCTTGTTCCTTCATTCGGCCGCCCCCAAGACGACGGAAAACAGAGAAGAGAGGAAGAGATGGTGAAGGCAGAAGATGGCTGAAGGATGATGATGCTGGCCGGAGATGCCGCAAGTGGGTGGTGATGATGACGCAGGTTGAATGATGATGATGATGATGGAGATGCTGAAAATCAGAAGAACAGAGCAAATGGGGGATCAACGCTGGCGATGGTGACGATGACAGATGGAGATTGAAGAAAAACAGGAAGAAGAGGAGAAAACAGAGAGAACGAAGGAGCAGAAGATCAAAAAGGGAGGAAGAAGAAGAAGAAGAAGAAGAAGGGAAGAAAAAGAAGTATTGAGTAAGAGAGGAAACAGACCAGAGCAACCAAAGGAAGAACCGTCATTTAACAGATCTCTGCTTTTCGAGGATTTCTGTCGCTAGGTTAAGTTTCTGTGATCATTCATTCATTGTAATTCCAGATTGATCCATGTTTTTAGCGTCAGATCTGCTAGGAATAGGAAACTGCTTGTGAAGTAGCATTTGCTATTTTCCTTAAATCTTCTTCCAGTATTTTTAGTCTCGTGCACCATTCTCAGCAGATCTGCTTCACTGCAATTGCAAAGCTACTCATAAATATCAATGTAAAGATGAATGAAGAATGTGAAGATAGAACAAACAAGATTGGCTGAAATGGAATACGAAGATGATGACAAAAATGGAGATGCTGACGTTTTAGTTTTATTTTTTATTATTTAATTTTGTTTTTTAAATATTTTATAAAAGTATGAAAAGTAAGCCATTAAAAATAAGGGAATTGGTGGGCCCATTTGTCAGTAACTACAACATACCAAACGGAAAACGAAAGCGAAGCAGATCATTGAGCAACGGGGCCCACATTTAATGAGGAGTGGCTCCACCATTTAGTAGTGGGCCCTCACTGCTTTGCCATGATTTTGGTGGCCGTGGTGACCCACGTGCACTACTAAATGTGACAACCTTGTCATCTTTCTGACGTCAAAAAATAAAATTTTAATTAAAACTCAAATATATTTTTAAAATTTTTATAAATATGAAACAAGAAATTAAAAAATTACTTGATGTGGAAGATGGAGAGTATTTTTGATAAATTTTTTTATTTTATTATTTTAAAGAATATAATATTGACATATTAAAGTTTTTTTAATTTTAGATTATTTAAATATTTTAAAATTTTAGTTTAATAATTATAATACTTTATTATTATATAAAGTTTTTATTATTTTAGTGTTTACAGTATAATAATAAATTAAATTTAATACAAAGTTGTATATTAAAACTACTTTTTACAATAAATTTTATTAAACACTATGCATTTTTTTTTTTTTATCTTAAAACTTTTTTTGTGCAATGCTATTTTTAAAACAATTTTAGTAATCCACATGTTCTTTCTCGACACCCATTGATGATTATCATCATTGAACTCCATACTCCATTATGTGTGGAATTATTATTTCGAAGAAATAGTTGGACTTGATAATTTTTAGAATTTGTAAATTTTATTTTATTCAAATCTTAAATATAAATAAATTTATGTTTTTCTTACATTTTTAAAAACAAATTCGAAGATGAAAGAAATGCACTTGAGAAATTACAGTTATTGTTTTGTAGTTAATAGTCAATAATTCATATAGTTCTTTCAAATGAAAAATTAATTTTCAAAATTCAGTAAAAATTTTGTAATCCATGTTTCACACTAACAAGTTAATAGTCAAGAATTACCAAATTTGTTATATGGGTCAAACAGTTTTTTTTTTTTTTTTTTTGAAATAGAAATAAAAATTAAAAATATATTTTTTATTTTTACAAATCAATTAAAATATCTACAATGAGACTAAGGTTCTCATTATATTCAAGGCTGTACTTTTAAAAATAATAAAATCAATTATTCTCCATAGTGTTAAGTCTTAAGTCTTATGGATCAAACAGTGCAATTATTTCTTTCTTTTCAAATAACCCAAAAGATGGTGAGGGATATAAGTCTTATGGATCCAACATATTCTATTGGTTGTTTAAGTAACTTGTGTTGTTAGTAATGTCTGTCTCCCCCCCCCTATGACCATGAAGTTGTGAAAAGTATTTTTCATATCATTTTTAATTGACACAAGTAATTATCATTATAAAACAGAAATCCTCCACGATTGTATATTATCAATAATAATAAAATATAAAAATTAATCAGCAAAAATAATTTAATAAATACTGGTGGTAACTTAATAATAATATCAAAATTTGTGACTAAAATTTATGAAATTTTGATTCATAATGAGATAATGTTTTATTTATTTATTATTATTATTATTATCCTCCCCCTCTAGATTCATTATGGTTTCATTTGTTTTGCTAAAGATTATTTGTTTGTTTTAAAGAAGAGAAAGAAATAATATGTTCAACTGAAAAACATTGAAAGAAATAGTGAACAAATTACTAATAACATACAACATTTGCAAATACAAGGCGCATATACCTTTAAAAGATATATATATATATATATATATATAGTACGGAGAATGCTACATGGCATTTCTTATTTTTTTGAACTAAAATAAAAATAACATTAATTATAAATATATAAAATAAAATTAATATGATAATAAAAATAATAATTATCTATTTAAATATTTAAAATATAAAAATAAATTTTAATTTTTAGTAAAGTACCAATTACATATTTTAATATAAAAATAAGTTTACTAATATATATAATAATGATTTATTTTACAAATTCTAACATAAAAAATTAAATTAAAATTATAATTAACTGTAGCTTATATATTTATAGTTACTTTTTAAAATTATAACTCATATACAACACAAGAAGAAAAATCTAAGAAAAAATTCTACATGAAGTTTATTTTATGCTTAAGCTTAAACTTTTTGGTGAAACTTTCTTTAGGCTATTTTTATTTTGATGCAGCATATATATTTTCGATTACAAATTAGGTGGAAAAGCAAAAGCCCGAAAGAGAAGACAATTTTATGGAGCATTACGAAAGAATATAGGCTTCTAATTTCCCAATGTCAACAACACTTTGTCCTGTTTCAAAGTAATGTGAAGGATACTTAACAGTGTGAGCAAAAAGAATATAGGCTTCCTTCCCCCAACCTTATCAGAAGATTAGATGAAGTTACCTGCAACTTCTCTCATCCACCCTATTCCTATTTCTATACAATCTTCTAACAGGGACTTCTGATCAGATAATTTTAGGGTAATTTTCAATTTTCACCATTGGGTGTTGTCACCTTTACTTTCCCTACTTCTACATGTAACAAAGAGAAAAAAGAAAATGAAAGCACATTATGGCCTCTGCATAATCGCACTCCATCAGATTAATCTGTGTGTGTTGAAGTTGATGACTTACTTGCCAATGCAGCTAGCTCCTTCTCCTGCTGTTTTTTAAGGTACCGTTGTGCAGTTGCAGTCACAATCTTGCCAAAGAAATTCAAGAGCATGAGCCACACAACAGTGTTCCAGATTGCCGCAAAGGAAAGATCCCACTTCTTTGCCTAGCAAGAAATTGATGATGAACAGATACGTAAGTGCATAAACACCTAATGTGTATTTGAAAGCCAATTTCTAGAATGCTGCCATGATGCAAAAGGTAAATAGGCACATCATGTAAAGCAGTAAGGTACCTTGCTATCCGGAAGCACAGGAGGCGAGGGTGCCAAATACTTCTCCTTTGCTAAATGGAGTTTGGCCGTCAGCTGAGGCAGGAAAGAAGCAAAACCAGGAACAAAGCTGAGTACCCAGATCAACTCATTCTCCACCCAGTCGAGAAGCTGGTTATTACAGACACAGATGATAAAAACTGTCTGCAGGAAAGCAATCAAATGAACTGCCTATCAATGGTCCATCCAGATCAAAGCTATCACATTGAAAATAGCAATGGGAATAAGATGATATTGATTCTAACATCTACGTAGTCCATGAACCAAATTGGGAAAAAAAAAAAAAAAAAAAAAAAAGAAAAAACAATTTTTTTATGTGAAGCAGATTGTAAGATCGAAATTGATCTAAAACTAGAGAATATGCTAGCAAACCTGAATGTGAGTTTTGATCAGTGCCTTCCCAATCATTGTTGAAAGAAAAAACTTCCAGAAGGGAATTCCAAATTGTCCACACATGATACCAGCCAGGTCAAAAAGAGGATTAGGGACCTGAATTCAGTAAAAGTTGAGTATCAACAAGTAAAAATATGAAACAGAAGTTCGTGAAGATTATTAACACTTTTATGAAAACCTTTTTCTTTTATAGAAAACTTGTACACAGACCATTCTTATTGGCTAAATTATATATTTAATGCTCAACTTCAGAGCCTGTTTTAAAAGTAGATCCTCAAACTCAATGTTAAAATCCATTCTTAGAAAAGTCCTTCAGTTGGTCAAACCACTATTTAGTGTACAGAAAATCTACATAACTGCCACATAAATTTTATAAGCATCAAATAGCCTATTTGCAATCAGAACAATCAAAATCATTATCTTTTTATGTCCAGATTACACACCTTGGTTGTTATAGCTAGTCCTGGATAGAAGAAAAGAAGAAAAAGTTTAAAATGTTTTGGATGTCATAAATACTATGATACCTATGTTTCATTTGGCAACTCCGTATGATTTGCATCCACAGAGTAACAATATTGCTGATAATTGGATATGTATTAAAAATGGGGCTTGATTGAGAATAAATTTAAATGTTAACTCCACAACTTAAGAATTTAAAAGGTAGAGAACGAATTTGAAATGTTGCTCAAATTGGAGAACCAAATATTTACTTCAACCATTTTTCACTATTAGAGTTAAAGAGTGAAGGTACAAACTAACTGAGATCAACAGTTGAATCCAATAATTTTCCTTTTTGTGCTGTTTTATAGAGTCCCAACTCCTACACTAGACAATTCATGGAAATATCAGAGGCAAATTTATTCAGAGACGATCAATTACTTCGTAAAAATATAAATGTAACCTGAAGAATCATGTTAGGTCCTCTACAGTTCAGAATGCTGATCACATTTAAATATCAGCCAAGGTTAACCGAAAAGAGAAAACATGAACATAATGTTGGGGGAAAATTTTGATGAGCCAAAGGGAAGGAAGGATGTGAAAGTTGTGTGTAGTGGACCCACTAACATAAGCAACTTGAAAACCTTTATATAAAGAAATGAGGAAGTAGATGGAGACTCAAACTCACCGAAGCAAGAACCAGAATAGTCAAGAAGTTCAAATGTTGTGAGTGTGACAAGAGCCAACGTTTAATCTGATTCAGGTGAGTAGCTATAACTCCACTATCTTCAGATGGGGAAACATCCAATTCTTCCATACCCAATTTGCTACCAGAAAGACTTGCTGCATAAAGTGAATGATCATTACAAGAAAAAAATACCTTGCAATCAGTTAAAATATGTTCAAACATAATGGAGTAACAGAGTATACTATTTTGACACCAGAAAAAGATGACATATAATCTGACCATAAAATACGGACGGAAAAAGTCCCTGTCATTAAAATTATAGAAATTCAATCTATCACCAAATTCTATCTAAACAGCAGCCACTAATCAATGTAA